GACTAACAACAGGTGGGGAGGGCAACAACAAGCAGCAGCAGCGCAAGCGTAGCCTGCCACCTCTGCCGCCCAGAGGTTACACCAAACAGCAACAACAGCAGCACCCGCAACCCCGAGGCCGCGGAGCCGTCTCCAAGCTCAGGAACGACGTTGTGTCTGGTTCAGCGTCTAGGTCACGCAGCCGTTCACGAGGTCCGCCGCGTCACTTGTCCGTCAAAGGCCAGACGTACATGGCAAGACCTGTTTCACGGATTGACGAGCATGATGAAGAATCCAGTAATGCTAATAAGAACAGCTTCCCATTTCATGGTCATGGTCAGCCGCCGTTATTATCGCCACAACCTCAGGGTATGGAACTCAGCATCGTTGCTGCTGATACATCAATGGTCAACCAAGACGACCACGAAGCCCAACAACACAACAGCATTTCCTTCCTGGTGGCAACACCCGCTCACCATCTACGACCATGCTCCATGTCCGGCGCTGACCCGGCTCACATCATCGGCCAGTATGTCGGCACCTTCTCTCTCAGCCCCCTATCGGACTTCACCATCCACCCTCCCGACGAGTCGTCATTGGCTCTTGAAGCAAGTTACGTTATTGGCAACCACCACCTCGTCACCGGCGACCACCACTCCCGTGGCCGCTCTATGTCCATGTCTACCCGTGACCTCGTCGCCAAGCTCACCGAAGTCGAGCCCTTTGAGCCCTACTGGGAAGATATGCGCAACCTCTGCCTTGCGCACAAGCGTTTGGAATCCCTGCATGCTCTCGATGAGTTCTGTGGCCGTCTCGAATCCCTAGACGCCAGCCACAACGAGATTAGGAACCTCACCGGCGCTCCGTCCACTACTCGCTTCCTCAAGATGACCAACAATCAGCTGTCAAGCCTGACGGCGTGGGGACACTTGACCAACCTGCAGTATGTGGATATCTCCAACAACCGATTGACGAGCCTGAATCCGTTCAAGCAGTTGGTGCATCTGAGGGAGTTGAGGGTGGACAATAACCGTTTGGAGAGCTTGGAGGGGATCAAGTTTCATGATGGGTTGCAGGTGTTGAGGGCGCGAGGGAATTGCATTGAGGAGGTGGACTTTGATGGGGCGAGGCTGGTGCATCTTACCGAGTTGGACTTGAGGGGTAACAAGATTAAGAGGGTGGTGAACCTAGACCAGCTCCCGGTTTTGAGCTCGCTTAACCTCGAAGGGAACCAGATTGAGGTGTTTGAGGTTGGCTCGCCGGCCGCACTTACCTCTGGTTCCTCTCCCGTTTCTGATCACGGTCAGGCCGTTAGTCCGTTGAGGTACCTTCATCTCAACGATAACTGTCTGAGCCATCTGTCCATCCACCACCTCCCCCATCTACGGCTCCTCCATGCCGACCGTAACCGCCTCGTCCGCATCCACGGCTTCTCCCGTGCTCGCCACCTCGACTCGCTCTCCCTCCGCGAGCAGCAAGGTCCCGAACCTCTCGACCTCGATCACCTCCTCTCTCGGGCCTACGAAGTCCGCAAACTATTTTTGTCTGGCAACTACCTAGGCAGCACCACCAACCCCAAGGGCGTCGAAGAGAGTGGTTTCAACCCTCCCATCGATCTGCTCAACCTGCAACTCCTCGAACTAGCCAACTGCGGCCTGACCAAATTACCCGTGGACGTCGGACAGATGATGCCCAACCTGAGAGTTCTCAACCTCAACATGAATGCGCTTGAGGATCTGTCGCCATTGAGACATGTACCGCGGTTAAAGCGGCTATTCATCTCCGGGAACCGAATTAGGGATTTAAGTTCGCTAGTTGACGTCCTTGCCAACTTTTCCTGCCTCACAGCTGTTGATTTGCGAGGGAACGGACTAGTAATGGGGTTTTACTCGCCTGTTCAGGAACTCTGCAAAAGCAACACTAGCCTCGGCGGCAAGCAGGACAAACCCACCACCAACGCAGACGAGGATGCACGGAAGGGACAGGAAGAAGCAGATGGTGGTGGCCAGGAGCAGGAAGAAAACCACGAGAATAAAGACCAGTGGACTCTCCCCTCGCAAACGCTCGCTTCCGATAAAGCGTACGCGTCGAGACTTGATCTGCAGACCAAGATGCGGCGTAGGGTCTATGATCATTTACTGGCTGAGAAGTGTACAAGGCTGAAGAAAGTGGATGGTCTCCCGTTTGATCGCGATCATGTCCTTTCTCTCAGGGACGAAGTCTGGAAAGCGTTGGTTGCTCGCGGGGTGTTTACAGTTCCGGGCCAGAGTCACGGTCAGAGTCACGGTCAGCAGACTCCAGCGGGCGCGAATGCGATTGCGGCTCCTGTTCCAGGTAGTGCTGCTGCCCCTGCCTTTGCCCTTGCTCCTGGGAATAACTTGGTGGGAGGCGGTGGAGTCCCGAATGTTCCAGGCGTACCTGGCCTCCCTACAGGTGCTTCCAGCTTTGGGTCAGCTGTAGGTTTTGGATTCGGTAGTCCTACAACAGTGGTGGGTAGTGATGCTGAAGGGCCGGGACACCTTCAAAGTCACGGTGTTGGTGGGAGGAGGCAGAGCATGAGTATGAGCATGAACATGAACATGAGTCCTGTGGCTGGACGCGTCCCAGTCAACGGGCAGGGTCAGTCTCAGTCTCAGTCTCCGTACCAACAGCAGTACCAACAGCAGCAGCAGATGACGCAAAATGGAAGTCCGTCGAATGTAAGAGGTCGTGGAGTTAATGGAGTTAATGGACGGCGGAATGGCGGGGTGTTAAGAGAGGTGGACATGAACGCTAATGGCGGGATGGGTGGTGTGAGTGGTGGTGGTGGTGGTTATGGAATGAATGGGTGTCCTCCGAATCAAAATCTCATGGGACAAATGGGACAGAGAGAGACACAGGGCCAGAGCCAGAGAAGTGAAAGGGAAATGGAAGAGAGGCTCAGACAGATGCAGAGAGAGAGGGAGGAGAGGTGGTTGGCTGGTTGAGGAGTAAGTGGAGAGTTTGCTGCTGGGTGGATTGGTGAAGCTCGGTTCCTTTGGTTTCTGTCTGCTAGCTGCTATCGCTGGTTTCTTTTGTCGAAGGTCGAGTGATGACTGGATGGATGACTGGATGGATAAATGGATGGATGGATGGATGAAATGTTTGTCATGAACTGTCATGATTACGAAAAGTTTTTCTTTTTTTTCTTCTTCTCTTTTTTTGCTGGGTTAGCTGGGTTGGCCGGCTCTGTTCTCTTTCTATCATGGTTTTCTCGCAACAAGCAAGGAGTTATGATGGCGTGTGCATAGCAACGGTTTGTTTTCTTTCCTGGTATGGTTTACGGTGTATGGTTTCTTGTTTGTGTTTCTTCTTGTCCTTTTTTTTTTTTCATTTTTCTTGGTTTGGGATTAACATTAGGCTATCTATATACATCGATAGCTGGTTAGGGCGCTTCTCACTCACTCTAAAACGAGCATGGGCATGGCATAGCATGGTTATGATATGATATGGTTCTAGGGTATGGTACTACACTACGTAGTCCAGGGAACGAAAAATAAGGGGTGGGGGGTGTTTAGGGAGAGAAGGAGAGCATGGTGAAATGAAACGAATTGAGAAATGGAATGGAAGGATTCTTCTCTTTGTCTCCTTGGATAACGAGGTTTGTTTTCCGTGCATATTTGATGTGAGACCGTTGTTCCCTTAGTTATGACCTGGCTATGAAACAGTAATAATGACAGTAATAATAACAGTAGCAGTACCTCTCCCTATCCTACTATACTCGTAGGTACTTAACACTCTCAGGTACACTTCCAGGTACACTTGCTGTCACAGTTCAGTCGTCGCCATCGAGTAACAACACCCTACTTTAACTAATGAACAAAGTCCCTTGACCATTCTCATTCGAAAAGAACGGACGGTACAACCACAGACACGCTAATGACTACTTAGCCCAGCTTCTCAGCTTCTCAGCTTCTCTCTTCAGCTTCAGACGAATCTCGTCTATATAAATGACTGTTCATCCTCACCATCAATTTCAATTTCTTGAATAGGTAGTTTTTTGCCATCTAGTCCAAAGTACATTCAAGGTACCTACCAAAGTACCAAAGTAGGTACCAACTTACCAACTTACCAACGCCCAACTTACTTACCCAAAGTCCAACGCACGAAACAATCAATCAGCTTCTTCACTCTCACACATTTATCAGGTGAGTGAGTGAGTTTGTGAGGTCTCCGAGATTCACGGACAAGCAAGCAAGCTGAAACTAGGTAGAGGTAGTAAGCTAGGTAGCTAGCTAACCGGCTGGCTGGTTGGCTGATCCGAGAGCTATCATCTATCTACAGTCAACTACTTATCAACTATCAAATAGGAATCCCGTCATGGCGGGACTAGCCTGGTCTGGTCTGGTCTGGTCTGGTCTGGTCTGGTCTGGTCTGGTCTGATGGACTAGCCTGGACAACTGAGTGACTTGGATAATAACGTAGTAGTAGTAGTAGTAGTAGTAGTAGTAGTAGTAGTAGTAGTAGTAGTAGTAGTAGTAGTAGTAGTAGTAGTAGTAGTAGTAGTAGTAGTAGTAGTAGTAGTAGTAGTAGTAGTAGTAGTAGTAGTACTAACTCCCAGTTCAGCAACAACTTGGAGGGTTTAGAAGGAAATTTGTCACTACCTAGGTACCTTACTTATCACTGAAGATAAAGGGAAGAAAAGAAAACAAAAGTATATATATATATACATCTATATATACATCTATATATAAAGGGTGGGGTGGGGGGAGAGAGAGAGGGAAAAAAGAGAAAGAAAGGAACTAACTATCTATCTTGCAATCACTTCCTCAGACTTCGTTGGGTTAGACAGGTTATTTGTTATACAGGCTACCTAAACAGACCAAGAGTTTTTTCTTTGACAAGCCAACGGGTAAGATGCCTACTCACTTGTAGGAAGGACCATACGGTAGTACACTGAATAATTTTTGGAATGAGAGCTTATAGAGTTGTGAATACTGCATCCGTTACCTACCACGTATTTACCTAGGTACAGTGATACAAGTGACGAGGTTTATTCATGGTATGATAATCTCGGGTTTTCTCTCTGTTCTGTTCTGCTTGGTTCTTATCTGTTTTGGTCTGTTCTGGTTTGCTCTGTTCACTGCTGCTCACTGCTGCTCACTCTTGTCCTGTCTTTATCCATATATCCATAAAATAACCGGATGTTATGATAGACACAAACACCAAACTTAACTCTTTCAACACAGCCATAACAAGCAATTGCACTTTCAATCATAAATTCCATCAATCAATCACCCAACTTGAAGACTCCCTAAACACCCTACCAAACAATCTACCAACCAACCGGATACTCCAATAACTAATCAACAAGACAAACAAACAAACAAACAGCCGGCCAAGCCTGTACATCAAACATTTCTCAACTCGACACCCTCCAGTCTCCTCCCATTACTTTCCTTCCGTTCTGCATTATGATCTCCACACCTTAATCGCAAACATTTATCTGTCTGTCTGTCTTGCCTCACTCCGACACAAACCCCTCATCCTCCTCGGCACCATACGCAGCATCCTCCATCATCTCCCTCTCAATCTCCTCATCCACCGCCCGCCACGTGCCCAACCCCAACTCCCTCCTCACATCCCTCTGGATCCTCAAAAAGTACTTCCGCAAACTCCTCAGACCCCTCAAAAACCCGTTATCCGGTTCCTGCGGATACCGAGGCGGACACGGCTTGCCTTCGATGCCATTGGCAGCCAAGTCCTCGGCCGTGACACAATTGGCAAAGTCCGCCATTTTGAAATCGATTTCGTGCTTGTCTTTCTTCTTCTTGCCTCCGCCGCCGCCGCCGCTGCCGCCGTTCAAAGTACTGTCAATGCGATGCTTAATGGAGACGGCGTCGTCGTTATCCGTCGCAAAGTCGGTCGAGTAGTAATCTTCCATGGCCGTGTCGTATTCCGAGTGCGTGGTGGTGGAGGGCGTGGGAGGCGCAGGAGGGGGAAGCGGTTCGCCGTCGTAGAACATGAGGAGCGAAGCGGCGTAGAAGCGGTAGCCTTTTAGTCTTCTGATGATGACTTCCAGTTCTGATAGCTTGTGCAGCACGGTGGGGATGTGCCGCAGGATGGAGGCGCGGTCGACGCCGTTGTAGAGGAATCGGGTCAAGGCGTCTTGGAACTCTTGGCCGGCTTTGAGGTCGCGGCCGTAGTACTTGTCTTTGAAGACGTAGGACTGGGTGGCGACGTCCCAGACTTGGAGACCGCAGACGCGCACGCCGAGCTCGCGAGAGGTGGTCTTGGCGCATTTGCCTTGTTGGGATTTTTGCTTCTTGGGGGAGGCTTCGACGCCGTATTGACGGGTGCCCATCTTGAGGTCCATGATGCAGGGACGCTTCATGCCGGCAGTGAGGTCTTCAAGCAGCAAGAAGTACTCGACGCGGGAGTCGGTTTGCGTCTGAGCTTCTTTGGGGTTGATGGGGCGGGGGATCTTGGTGATCTCGTTGTGCGGGCTGGAAGGAGCGAGGTCATCGGCGGTGGCGGTGTCGACACCGTTGGTACCATTAGTACCATTGTGTGTAGTGTCCAAAGGCCCAATGGACTCCGCTCCTGGTACATCCGGGACGCCACCAGACTCAAACACGGGCTCCTCGTTATCAGCCTTGTAGGGAGCCGAGTCAGCCTCCTCAAAGTACTGCAGGTCGCCGCGCGAATCCTCGACATCCTTTGGCTTTCTCCTCAGTCCCGTCCCCGAGTACCGACGCTTCTTCTTTGGCTGGGCTGGCGACGCATCCTTCAGGATCTCTGGCTCAGGAGCACTAGTCCCCGTCACGTCCTTAGGGCCGTCGTCTTCCACTCCTTCTTCCCTGAAGCTGCGCGGTCGGGTGGCTAGGTTCTCCTCGCTTCGTACCAGGTCGCAGGGCTTGAGGCGCGACTCCTCACCAGCACTGCTGGCCCGCGGCTTGGCATCTTGAGCGACGTCCAAGTTCGGATCCGACTCGGTGTGGCGGAGAACTGGTTGCAGGCTTCGCCGGGAGAAGGGCCTTTGGTGACCCTTCTTATGACGGTGAACAGCAACGGGCTGCTTGAGGAAGGCGTCGTTGAACACCTCATTGCGCAGCCGCTTATTCACCATGGTGGCTCCCCAGCTGTTAGCATGCCGATCCTCCAGCCTTGGTCGCAACATGTGGCTGGGGTTCTCAGCACATTGTCCGTTGAGGATCCTACGCCCATGGAGAGAAGCCGAGGAGGCACTCCGTAAGCGAGTGAAAGAGCTTGACGACGCCAACGCTGGTTGAATCAGGCTCCGGGGGAGAATATGTTGGTTGTCAACAAAGGTGACGGTAGGGATCTGACCCAGCGGTTGCTGCAGCGACTGGCTAATCATGCGCTGCTCAGGCTGCGCCGGCTGGGCGCCGTTTGTTGTTGGTGCTGCTTCATCCCCTTTGGCACCGGAGCTTGTAGCTTCGTTTTCGCCCGCTGCAGGGGCTTCCAGCGCAGCAGCTGCCTCGTCTTTCTTGTGCACCGACTTTCGGCGAGGCTTCTTTTGGAAGGTAACGTTCAAGACACCAATATATCTGCAGCAACAACAGGGTTAGTCATGGGATCATACGGCTATACATGATATACATGGGACGACAACATACCTTGGCAAAAAAGCCAACAAGTCGCGATGGTATCGTTCAATTTTTTCATAGAATTCATTTTCTCGGTTGTTCAACTGTTTACAGACGGCCCGCCGAGAAAAGCGCCAGAGAGTGGTGTGCCCTCCGACTTGGTGTTTGTAAGGGATCAGTTCAATTGCATCTAGGGGCTGCTCTTCTTTGGTCTCCCCTTGGTGGTCATGGACGACATCTTCGGGATGACGGTGGTGGTGGTGATGATGATGATGATGATGATGAGCATGATGCGCAATGGACTGGAATGGCTTCTGTGGTGGAGGGACACCAGTTTCAATCTCGTCCGCAACGGCAGGTTCATTGACTTTGCCAGTGTCTATCTGAGAACCTACAAAAGGAACAGTAGCAGCGCTGTCGGCAGCAGGCTTGGCAAGCCGATGGGTCTTTTCAACGTCAGGACACTCGTCTAGACATTCGACCTCAGGCTCACCCGCTTTCACAAGCCACGAATGGAAATCTTCAGCACGTGAGTGTGTTCTGGAGGGAAGCGCAGTTCGGGAAGAAGCGGCGCCAGGCACGTCGGAGTGCTCCTCCTCGGCCTCCTCGGGGCCCTGATGTGGTAGGAACACGGCCGACGAAATCTTTTCCTCCCCAGACTCTTCGCCTTCCTCTGTATGCGATCCACCTTCAATGCTAGCATCCGACTTGCGCCGAGGCTCTGGCTTGCGATCCAACGACGGAGAACTTTTGCCAACAGCTGCAGCAGTATCTTGTAGTGCACTCGTGTGCTCGCGACCCGGGGTAGCAGGAGGCTGATGCTTTAGCTGGGCCGGCTCTTCAACCAGCTTGGATAAGAAATAGTCTGGAGCGGTGTTGTTGCCGGTCGGGGATTCTGGAGTCAGCAAGGGAATGGAGCGAGCCTGGCTTGCTTCGTCAGTTTCGGGTAACTGTGTGTCCTCTGATGTAGATGCAGGCACAGCAGTAGGGGCCCGTGGCTTTCCTTCACCCTCTGTCTCGGTCTCCTCAGCCTCCTCGGCGGTGGAAGTGAGTCTCTCTCGCTTGGCGTCCTTCTTCTTGGACTTTTCATCAGGCAGACCCTCCTTGAAGAAGCGCAAACTGTGGCTGGCCTTGCGGCTGCGGGCATTGGGCTCGACGCCGGCCAGGACCTCGGTGATGGACTTTTCGACCTGGCCGTCCTGGTCGTCGGTCAGCTCTCCCACGCCGATAGACCAAGCCTTTTCGGGAACCGTCTGTGCTCGTTGATCCTTGCGCAGTCTGGGAATAGCATTGTCACCGTTGTCAGCGGCTCCGTCATGGTTGTTGCTGTTATTTAGAGCGGTAGGGGATTCTGAAAGCTTGGTGGAGATGACGGGATGGCTGCTAATATCAGCATCTGTAGACTCGAGCCGTTCTGGAGACCTTGCCCGGCCCTTATTCTTTGTGAGGTATTCGCGGTGTCCCTTGAGCATGGAGTTGACCTGACGCAAATCGAGCTCGATGGCGTTACCCAATGGAGGGCCCGTCATGGTGGCGGTCGACGTGACGGTAGCAGTCATGGAGGCCATGGTGTGTTGTGTCTTGTGAAAGATGGAGTTGCGAGGAGAGCCGGCTCTCGGGGTCAGGGCGTCTTCTTCTTCGTCTTGGCTATAACGGTGGTCTTGTGGTGGTGGTGGTGGTGGTGGTCTAGTATGACTTTCAGACGGAACGGCGGACAGAAGATGAGACGAGGAGACGACTTGAGGTTGAGGTTGAAGGGTGTTATCAGCTAGTGGTGGTTGTTGTTGTTGTTGATGTTGGGGATTGTTATGATTTGTGCCACGAGCTGTAGCAAAAGCCTGGGTCAGCAAGGAAGCGCCAGGACCGGAGGGGTGTCTCTGGAGATAAGCAGCAGGGCCGCGGTGGTATTTGATCGGGTCTGCAGCAGCAGCAGCAGCAGCGGCATGTGCAACGGTACGATCTGTGGTATTATCTGTGATGACCAGGGGGGTAGTGGGAGTGGGGACGGCAGCAGCAGAAGCGGGAGGAGGAGCACCACAATGTCCTGGCTGGTGTCCGTCTGCTGGTGGTGGTGGAGGACCCGGGGACAGGCACGGCGCCGAGACGATGATGCCATGTTCCTGGTCTAGTTCTGGGGGGTCGACTGGGGGTACCAGACGGCAGGGAGAGGACTCGGCAGATGGAGAAGTGATGTCGAAGCTTGAAGCATCTTGACCAGCAGCAGCAGCAAGCCGAGCAGGGCTCACCGAAGCAGCAGCGGGAGCGGCGGCGGCGGCGGCGGCATCATGGTTGGTCGAATGCGAGTTCGACATGGGGAGGACATCTGACAGCTGCGCAGATACAGGAATGGAAGTACAGGAAATGGATGCGGGATTGTTGGGGCAGTCGATCTGTCGTCGGTAGGTAGTGGTGATGTTGGTTTGTGTGGGTGTCGAATCTAGACGGAAGTATTGGTAGTGTAGTGTTTTGGGGGAGGTTTTGAGTGGCAGCGGTAGGGAACTGAACCCGCCATCTCGCTGAAAGAGGGCCGTGTGTGGAGACAGTGCGTATTAGGAGGAGATGCCAATGCCGCGCCCCGCTTTCCATCGATTCTTCTTCGTCTCGAGGTTCAGTTGCGCCCTTGGCCCGCCAAGCACAGTGTAGCACTAGCTACGGTAACAGTCATGTACGTACCTCGTTAACAATTTGCAAAGTTCAAATGGTCATGGTCACGCACCGTCTCTTGAGCTGTCTTCCACTTTCAGCCCGATCAGGGGTGTTTGTAATTGGGCAAGCAAGGAAATAGTAAACACTAGGAACAGGAATAGAGCAACATGTGTTACGCGTAGTGGCCAAAAAAAAAGTCCAAGCCGGTGCAGGGGACGTGATGCGTGCACTGATCATGGAATGGGATTTGATGTCAGCGTGTTACGTACAGTGCTGCCGTTACTGTCCTGAACTCGAGATTCCCTCAGTCCTGTACCGGTAGTGTTCCAGGGCTCTCTCGGTTCCATCCCAGAGGAAGAGAGGGGACTCGTGGCCCTAAAGGTACCCAGGCAGGTACGTACCTTTTCCCATCAACCTAACCCCGGGACTCTAGCTGCTGTACAACATGGGTGACTTTCAGCTTTGATGGGATTTCCATCTTCTCCAGACTCCATCTGTCACTCGGTCTTCTTCGGTCCTGAACAGCATTTGTTATCTGTCACGTTCCCGGACTCTGATCGTTGACAGGCTCGTCCCGCTCCTGGAACTTCTCCCATTGGCTTGCTTCTCTCTGATCCTCCGAATTCCTTCGACAGGATTTCCCGCCGTGTCCGCTTACCTATTACACGTATGTATGTATGATCCACGGCGTGCCTTGATTACACTAAGGATTATCCTTATCTCTGTCTTCCGTCTTACCTACTAGATAGTAGGTACATATCAATGACGGCCCGCCATACGTCCGTATGTATGTATGTCTGTCAGAATGCTCCGGACTCCGGCGAGGAGCATATCATCCCTTCCAAGTTTTCCATCCCTGTTTTGGCTGATAGGAGCCCAACATCGCCTATTAGTCCAAAATTCGAGGCTGTTATCGCGGACGGCAATCATGTATCCCCGGCGCAAATCATCCGTCTTGACCACGCTGGGTGTGCGACACACCTTTTTCGCTTCGTTGTCGATACTGAACTGACCGGTCAACCAACAACGGCTACAAGTCGTGATTGTCAAAGCGGGGCTCCCACTCAGCCTGCTGCTTCTCAATTTTGTGTCATTCGTGCCACACGGCATAGCCGTCGTCATTCAGGAACAAATAATAACAGCAGACGAACCCCATTGTCCCGATGGCCTCTCCGGTTCGTCCATTTGGGGTCCCAACTCGGCTCGGTACAGACAACTCTCACAATTGTGCTTGTTCGAGACTTCAACTCTCGTCCTGTCCACAGCGAAAAAGACATGGTTGCCCCCAACCAATCAAATCAAAACGTGCTTGAAACTGACCGCTCCCTGGACGGGAACTCCAGCTCAGCCCGGAGCCACTTTGTACCAACTGACCGGTCCACTAACAGCCTCGATTCCACCCCATTTTGTTCCCATTTTACCAACGGGACATTTCCCAGTCTCCACCCCAGACGACATGCGGTCCTCGCCTCGTTGGCTTCTCCGTGGGATTTGGTTCGTCTATGCCGACATTACACTAGGTTCCTATGTCCTTGGCGGAGCTTGGAAAACGACTTCCGTCATCTCACCAAGATTTGCCCAAGATCTTCTTTCCCCCAAGGCTGGCTAGATCGCTTTGGGAGGTTTCTAGCAAAAGTCCAGATCCCCAGCTAGGTCCGCCAGATCCAATGTCGCTCGCGAACACGTGGGTCTTTTTAGCACCGCAGTATTTCTACACTACAGATCCAGATCGGCGGGTGGGCAGGGCTTTGGCAATCGTCTACACTAATATTTAGCAAATACCGTCATTGTGCCAAGCCGGTTTTCGGGGGGTATAACTGTTACCTACCAATGGCTTCACCACGCCTTTGTCACAAATTGCACTACACATTACACAAGAACTGCATGCCGCCCCTGGATGCTGGATTGTTCATGGGTCGTCGTCGTGGTCAAGGAGGACACAGTGTCGTACAGAAACGCAGTCGAAATAGTTACCTCTAGGCTAAGAAACCCTGATGTCGATCATGATCGCCCAAGCCCAAGCCCAAGGACAACAGAGGAACACAGGCTCGTGGGCCAGATAGCCTAACCCAAGCAAAACCACCAACTTGACGGCGTGGTGCTCTCCAAGGGAATTCTCACAGGTCCAGTATCACCGTTTCTTTGACCAGGTAGGTGGTGCCACCCCAGTCAACCAGTCACCCAGCTAGCGTCAGTGACAAAAACACACCATAGACTTGAGGATACTCACTGCACGTCATTCATTCCCCATGGTTTTCTCGGGTTAAGTTCTTTCATCCATGGGACTTTATATGAAATCCACTTCGCCTACGCTACACTTCGAGCCTCAACTAGCACTATAGGATAGACTAGATGGTAGTATATTGTACCAACCAACCAACCTCCTCTCAGACTCCTCTCACATATGTACCACGCCTACCTGCCTACCGTAGAAACTCGGGCAATTGGCAAAACCAGATCCCTCTTTGAGCGCCCGACAGTAAGCACAGGAAGCAGCATACTCCTGTACATATGTCCGCTCAGTTAGTGAAGGCTCTACAAAACTAGCCAACACTATCCTGCCTGCGTTCCAAAGTACAGGCTCGGACTCGAGCACTACAGATCATGCTGTACTATGCCCCAAAAACCTCTTTTTGCGGCATTTTGGTTTTGCCAATTGCCCGAGTTTCTACGGTAGGTATTGTCGTCTTCAGAGAAGAAAAAAAAAAGAAAGAAAGAAAAGGAAGCGTGCCAATTCCAGATATACATCGTCACATCCCACAATCTCTTACACTACCTACAACCCGCATCATCGGAAATACTTTCCAGCCATAAGCCATAAGCGATAAGCCATAACGAAGCTACAAGGCAGCCCTGCTATTCTAGTGTAGGCCTCCCGCTTTGTCCCATTTACTATGTACCCAGTCAGTATAATATGTCGTTGTATATACTTACCTAGGTAGGTAGTGGTGCACGGCATGCATGATTTAGCCACATTCTTGCCTGCACTGGCTCACTAATTTATATTTATCCTATGTTGTGTTGTGTTGCCCACGGGAAACTATTACATGTATAGGTAGTAAGTGAAGGCTTCAGCCTGGCTCCATTTGCTTTGCTCTCTCTCTCGCTCTCTCTCTCTCGCCTTTCAGTCTCTTAGGCAGGCAAGTGTCAAGTCCTGTCCTGGCCTTTCCATCTTTCATCTTTTCAAGTTTGCCTGGGTTTGAGTTCGAGCTGGAGGTGGACTGGACGTATGTACCTAGTGTCAAGTACATAGCTCCAAAAACCTCCAAAAACCTCTAGATAGGTATACTCTTGTGTGTTCCCTTCGTAACTCAAGAGCACGTACTATCATCATAAAACCTCCAGACACATTGTGGCTAACCACTCACCCAATGCATAGCCCGACCTGTCCGGGACAACCGATCTACCAACCTTCAGATATTCACTTTGATTCACCTAGATTTACTGCATGGGAATTGCGAATTAGACAGCATGTCGGTACCTACCTACCTACCTACCCACCTAGCAAGATTTACGAACTTTCGTGCGTGTGCATCACCTTAGAGGTACCTAATCTACCACCACAGCAACATAACCAATACTGAAGGACAACTGAAGAAGCTGCAGGTGTCATGTATGTACCGGGAGGCCTCCCTCCCTTTTCTTACCCGTCCCTTCTCGAGCCGAGCCTTATCGGGTATCTATCTCTACATACCGTAACGGTAGTACCTACTAGGTATATCTCGTGCCTGAATGGATGTAACCTCTCCCAAAACAGAAACTGCACGCTTGTGGCACTGTGTCGGTGTAAGTATGATAGATTGAGCGGTGAGGTCGCTACATAGATGCTAGCTAACTAAGGAGGAGGGAGGGGAGGGGAGGGGAGGTGTGCTGGTTGTTGGGTATGTACGTATATACGTGGAGGTAGGTATTGTTAAGAGAAAAACCAAAAAAAAAGGGAAAAAAACCTAAAGGTTAACAGTAGGGTTTTAACATGTGGTGCTAGCAACGGTGGGGGATCGGTAGTAAGAAGGTAACAGGGAAGATACCCCATAGGTAGGTAGCAATATCTAGAGGTAGATCTCATTCACGATATTGTACGGTGTCTCTGGAAATGTACATTTAATCTTACAAAGGTTACCTCTAGCGAGTAAGGAAGCCTAGAGGCAAACTGATCATCGATAGCTATAGACATGGGAAACTAAGAGCACTAAATAAATACATCAGGACTTGGTTGGTGTATTGGAATTCCAACCACGAACTTCTGTACCTCCGCAAGAAAGACATAGGTGCTGTGTAAGAGACTTCGGCTGTATTGTTTCTCTGCGAAGTATACCTCAGGTACCTAACTACCAACTAGACACGCAAACGATAGAAGAATAGTGCCTAACTAGGTCGATAGCCCTACTTAATTCTGGATTCATCGATCTACAGCAATCCCTTTTCCTTGTTCTGACATTTTGTGATCGAAGAATGCTATGGTAGCAACGAAAGCAATGTAATGCAATTCAGCGCCCACTCGGGCAACGTTTCCTGGGATTGGGATGGAGGAAAAAAAAAAGAACTTTTGGATAACCTAGAACCGTTTCTAAAGGGTATGTGTATGTGTACTCAAACAAGCATTCAACCAACCAACCAACCAACCAATCCCAAACATGCCACTTGACGACACATAGACTACTCATCTCCTCCTCCTCCTGACCCCGACAATCGACTGAGCCAGCTTCCTTTTCTGGACCTTGTCTGCTGCTGCTGCGACTCATGGTGCTGGTGTTGTTGCGGCGCGTGCTGCTGCGACTCGTGCTGGTGCCCGTGCTGGTGAGTTTGCGGAGTCGATGGAGCAGAAAGGATATCCTATTCCTCCGCCGACTCATCATCCTCCTCATCCTCGTCGTCGTCATTGTCGTTGCCATCGTTCTCCTCATCGTCATCATCCTCGGCAAGATCCTCCTCGGTAGCTTCGAGACCGGAAGAGGACATGAACTTTTCGTTCTTTGTTTCCGCTGTTTTTCGTATTTGGTCAGTACCTGTTCCATAACAAGATAGGACAATAAAGGGGGGAAAGAACGGAAGAAAAACCTACTCTTAGCCTCAACCAACAGATTCTCCTGCACCTCACACTCCGTCAACGTGCACCCCTCGCCCACCTCACTGCGCTTACCAAGGATGCACTTAGTCAGCTTACAATTCTTGCCCACCACCACGCCGTCCATCAGCAGACACTGGCTCAACTTGGCGCCCTCGCCAATCTGGCAGTTGGCGCCAATCACGCACTCCTTGATGCTCGTCTTCTCTTGGACCGTGACATTGTCCGCCACCAGCGAGTCCTGCTTGGTGATGGTCGTGCGCGGCTTGACGCCCTCCGGGTAGGCGACCTTGCGCGTGTGAGCGAAGGGCGAAGCGGCCTCGGCGGAACCAACTTCTTCGATCGAGGGCAGCTTGGCGAGTTGCAGAGAGATTTGCAGGAGGAGCTGGGCGGTGTCGACGCGGCGGATCAAGGGGGTGGAAGTAGAATCGGTAGAGGAGGAAGGGTGGATGTAGGCGAGCATGGGCGGGATGGTGCTGTCGTTCTGCTTCTCGTTGGCGGACTCGGTCTCCTCGTGACCGGGCTTGTCGCCGGTGCGGATGACGGGGCGGACGGGGCCTTCGAGGTTGGTGGTGCCGGAGGCGGAGATGGCATCGTGGATTTGCGAGCCCGTTGGGTGCTTGACGGTGGAGTCCTTGGGGCTGTGGGAGCCGACGGGGGAGGTCTTGCCGTCGGTGTTGGAGACGGCGGTGCTGGACTGACCGAGAATGGCGTCGAGACCGAGCTTCTTGGAAAGACCCTTTTGCCAGCCGGCTTTGGCCCACCAACCTAGGACATCCTCGCCAATGGTCTCCAAGCGTTCGTTCTCCCTCACGAAATCCATGATCCAGTGGGGGAAGATGTAAATGTGAGCGTCGCGGTGGGTGGTCAGCATGCGCACGCGGGGATGTTGCTTGAGAAGGGCGTGGCGTATGGGGAAGCCTTTCTCTTCTTCGAGGAGATCTTTCAACGAGTCGGTAGGTGTTGAGTAGACGACCTTGGAGATGTTGGGGAACAGCGAGCCTCTGGGAGGGCTGACGGAAGAGGATGGTAGAGGAACAGTGGCCAGGAAATCGGTCTCCTCGCCCTTGATGGGGGTGGCGGTCTTGGTCTGATACCATACACCGAGACCACCGCTACGCTTGGGAGGGACATTCTCGGACCGCGTGTCGTCAAGGAGGTCTGTGAGACTGGCAGACTTGACCATCCATGCTTGGAGGAGCTTGTCGGCACCGAGCTCGCATACCAAGTCGCAGGGAAGGACGAGGAAGTCAGAGGTTACTGTTTCTTGTACTTCGGGGAGACGTAGAATCTCTGCTGTGCCCGTGTTCTGGTCAAGGTCCTTGGGTGCTAGGAGGTCGGGCCTGGGGTATGGTAGGCTGGTGAGGAAGGGGTTTGTGTTGAGGGCGGTTTGGATGGCTTGCTGGGCCGTAGGGGGGCAGATGAGGGTGATGTCTGAATAGAATTAGTATTATGTCGAGAGAATATGCCAAGACATGCCGATGTCAAGTCTCACTCAAACACCACCAAAATGACGACAAAGACATGACCTACTTGTGATGCCTGCGCGGTAGCAAAAGTCGAGAGGATACCAGACCATGGGCCTGTTGGCGATTGGTAGGAGAGCCTTGGGGTTCTCATCTGGGTTGGCAGTGAAAGTGGGAAACGAGCTGCCGGGACCGCACAGGATCAAGGCCTGGAGGCCCGGAGTCGCGATAGTTACTGCGTGGGGCATCTTGAAGATGTTTTAAGAGGAACTTGGATGTTGACGTCGAATTATTTTGCGCACTGCACAACAAGGTGACACCGGTATTTTGATGTCGGGTATCTAAATCGCCGGAGAAACAACAGCGCCGTGTGATATAAGAGCGCGTAAGTGGTGTTGTTTCTTTGATGTCGATATTTTTGGTAGATGTGGTGAAATGTCTTGTCTTGTTCAAATGTTGATTTCTTGACTCACAATCGCAAAGTCTCAATGAAGGAAGCGAAAGCTCTCTCTCACTGATGGAGGGGCATGTGGAAGTGGCCCGTGCGCTCTTACAGTTTAGACGGACAAATGCAGAGAGACGGGAGTGTGAGCAAGAGCATGGCTAGAGACACGCCCTGACTGATCTTCGCTGCCAGTCCGAATGTGGTCAAGTGCGCTTTTGGATGCTTGGCGGACATGGCGCTTGCAACTGGACTTTCCTGACAAAGTGTAGGCGATGCCACTGGAAGCTCAGTCTCTCCTTGCACTCGGTCACTGAAAGTCCACTATTAGAACTGTCCAGTACAAGAGAAGTGGAAGAGAAGACGTCTGTTGGCCAACCACTACCTAGAGGTAGGTAGGTAGCCTCGGTTGAACACGCAGCAAAGGTCATGAGGACCTCCTCTCTCTTCCAGCTGAACTTTTTGCCCTCGTTGGCTCGACATGTGCAGCTGGAAAAGAGGCATCCACTTCCCCAGGACCCCCAGCTCGCCCAGTCAGTCAACAAACCCAGTCAAAGACCCCTACCTCTCCCCAGTTAGGTTGATGTGATAGACTCCGCCCTATGGTTTGTCAGTGGGCCGCTACATTCGGCAACTAGCGACCAGCCACAACATTTCCATCTTTGCGCGCCTACATACACTTCAAGTTCTCCTCACTCGTGTTCGTTGTCGCAAACGTCCTCCGTCTTTATCTTCTTCCTGGTTGTTCGACTGGAAGCACGACTGCGAGCTGTGAACCAAAGACGAAGAAAGCGAAACGGTTCTCGGTACTCGATAGCTCAGCACGGCTCACACACGACATTGCCATGAAAGCGACCATCTAGAACGTGCCCGACATACATAGAACAAGAACGTCGTCTTCGCCACTTCGATCGCTATAATGTCCGACAACAGACGCCGTAACGGCCCTCTAGGTACCTGGGTGCCGCTGGTTGTGACGGCTGCCGTTGCTACCGTCAGTGTCGCAGCATGGATCTGGAGCCAGCGCAAGGACCGGACCGGCGAACACGACACCAACTCGACCGTCCAGGAACTTGACTACGAGAACGCCGACTACGGTGACAACCCGCCCTACGGAGCCACTGGCGAAGGCCGTCTGAAGCCACCAGCCCAAGCACAACAGGCCGAAGGAGGATGGGGCCCCCGGCGCACCCCGAGTCCGGCCGACTTCTTCAACAGCGCGAAGCGACAGGTTGCCGCCGGCGTGACTGCAGCGGGCGCAGCTGTGGGTACCGCCCTTTCCGCCATCCGTGAGGAAGACAGCCTGAGGAGCGAATTTGCTGACGACGAGACGTGGTCCGACCCGGATGCCAAAAAACAGGTTGAGAATGCTACTCCTTCCAGAAATGATACGCCCGCTGTTCAGCCTACCACTAGTAGTGCCCCGGTCCCCGCTCCCGCTGCTACTACAACTACCACCACTACTACTGCCACCTCAAACAAGAACCAACGCCGGAAAAAGGTTGCCATCATAGTCTCGGCCGATAACCATGTGGAACCCGGTGACGAAGAGTATCATGAACATGCTGTAAGTCCTCGGCGATCTAAACAGAACCATGGTCCAGTTACTAATAATCCCGTACCACTCCAGTCCATCCTCTCCCACATCCCCCGTAACATCGACCTCTCCCTTACCAAGCTCTACATCCTGATCTACGCCCCTCAACTCAAGGACAAGTCCGAAGGCTCCTCCAAGCCTGCGTCGCTAAGCTCTTCCTTCTCCAACATCGAGGCCGAGACCCCCGCCGAGACACCTGCCGAGAGCAAGGACAAGGACCCTCTGTATGTCCAATCCTTTTCTTGCTCCATTTCCACTTTTGTTCTATCCTGTTCATAACTAACTCTGAGCCTTAGTGCCGACTCTGCCTACACGTCCCTCTACAACCAAGCCGCCGCTCTCGTTTCCAAGCCTTCGCATATCCTGACCTTCTCCACCCCCGCCGGCCACTCCCACATTTTGCGTCACATCCAGCCCGAAATCATCTACCTCCAGGAATCTCTGGCCGGCCCCGACGGCAGCGTCATCACTTCGCTCCAGACATGGCTAAGGCACGACATTGTATTGGTGGTTGGCGCCGAGCAAGGAGACGGCGGTCTGGCGGACTCTGACTCTGAGGACGATGATACAGAGAAGAATGGAGAGAAGGAGAAGAAGGACAAAGAGGTCAAGTGGTGGCAGAAGGAAGAGCGAGTGGGGCGAGGGAGGGGAGTTATTGTGGTGGATGTGAGGGCGGGCAAGTTGGGGGATGATTGGGTTAGGAGGGTTCAGGGACAGGAGTGAGCTGGGGCTGCTGAGACGGGTGAGTGATGATGATATCCATGTTTCGTTGTTGTTGTATACCATTCTGCTATTTGGATACGATGGAATACGACAGAAGCGGGCCAGTGTTTTTTTTTTTTTTGCTTGGATGCCTACCTACCTATGGAATTTGATAATACGGATGACGGATCTCGGTGGGTGAAGTGAACATGTACAAGCAGCATGTGTAGAAAGAAGCAGGACTGTTTGGATTCCACAGATCAGTAAGCGCTCCCGAAGCGTTTAGGTCAGGGCTTCTGCAGCTGCTAGCCGGCTGTTGGGAGGGAAGGGCTGGAAGTAGGTAGGTACGGACGGGAAGGTCCTTTGGGATGGTGGTCAAGACAAATCGATATATTACCTAGCTGTCTGTGTGCCGGAAGCCCCCAGGCACTTTTAGTATAGCCCCTTTCATGATGTAGGTAATTTTCCTTGGTCCTCCGTCGCTTTTCGCCTTCGCAGTTCGGGAGTTGGCATGGACCTCGGCGATTCAGGGGTGCGGGTTAGGGTTATAGCCGAGTTTGTCTCCCTCGGCACCTGTAGGTACAGTACTTGGTAAAACTCGCTCGTATATGCGCTGCCCGCGGCGAGCAGCCAGAGGTCCAATACCTATGGAGCTGAACTCTTTATAAGCGTTCCTCGACATCCATACTCTGTTCTTCTGCCTTCCTTTCTTCCCTTGTCAATTCTCCCAGGTCGAGACTTGACATATGATCAGATCATTCTTCTCACCCAATATGGATCCTCCTCTCGGTAAGAATATATCATCAGGTTCAGGTTGATATTTTCAACTGTTTCTCTTCGGACATTCTTTTTTTTCCCCTTTTATATATATAGACTTTGAGACCTCCTCGTGGAGACTGGGTACCGGCGACAGACAGACATCATTACCATCGTCGATAATTCTCGAGGTGCTGACCCGGACAACCTAACCTAAGACCTGGTTGCCCGCTCCCGTCGTACAAAGCAGACACCTCAGGTACCTCTAGGTAGAAACCCTACAGTCGGTTAGGTAGAGGTAGGTAGTGGGTTATAGACAGCCCACCAGCACCTAGTTACAGCGTGCTGCTACAGTGAGATCTGCCCTACAGCAGCACCTCCTACTATCACTGTGTTCTTCACCAAATGGAAGTGGAAGGTACCTCAAAGGCCCTTTGACACACAGGGGCAAGCGCCAAGCCTCGACACTGGATTCCATGCCCTGTGAGTGACCAACACTTTTCCAGCCAAGAACAGCAGCGGCAGGCCTTCCGACATCATCAGATCAGATCTTGCTTGTCCGGGCTTCTCTCTTTCAATTCCATCGGTCAGTCAATCCCATCCATCCACCATCATCGTCGTTCGTCAATCCGTCACTACCGCACATGTCAACAACAACTTTTAATCGCTACCATCCCCTCCGCCGGAGACGTCCTCATTGACAAACAAGCCCCCGACATGCTCGGCTGCTGACGCCCCGTCCGACAGAGACTCCATACCTACTGCGTACTGTAGTCACCCCAGACTGTGGTCCTTACTCCATCGAGAACCGTTGTTGGTTGGATCATCGCCGAGCGAGCGGCTCTCCGCCTGACGTTCCCTTACCTACCTAGTCACCTCAACCTTCAACATAGCCCCGATCCCGATCCCGTTCCAGTTCCAACGTGAACACGGTCGCATACGAGGACACAATAAGAGTCGGTCATTTAATCTACCTACGAGGTCGCCCCTGGCGCACCACACGGGATATCAATGGGCCCCGCTACTGCCACCAGCGCGTCGCCAAACATGTCGCAACCCCAACCGCCGCCGCCGCTAGTCGCGACCAAGGTCAAGCGTCCTATTCCCCTAGGAATCCAGACCAACGGCATCAACACAGCCTCGCCCAACGCGGCCTCCCCTCTAATGTCCGCCAAGCGCGCCCCGTCTTCCGCCCGTCAGCCGTCAAATCCCCCTGGCGCAAACACCATGGCCAACGGCTCCCCTGCTCGACCACCCCCTCCGAATCGTCCCCGTAATCGGGCCCCGTCTGGCCATGGCCCCGTTCCCGGAAGCGCTCAACGCCCGCCAGCTTCCGCTACCCTCTTCGAGCCACCGTCTGTCCCCAATGTCCCGATATCGGACCGGGCTTTCCTAAAAAAGCACGCCGGGAACCCGCCTTCCTTGATCGTACACCTTCATCCGAACCACTGGCGCTTCGATCAGCAAGAAACCGTTACCAGCTACACGTCAGCCCTTGGCGCGGCCTTCATCCCCCACCTAAGGACTCGCACTATTCCTCATTCTCTCCTTCTGGACTTCCACACCGCCGACGTTTCCTTTTACGACGGTTGCTTGATCGTCCAGGTCTACACCTATGGGACAACCACTGCGCCCAAAGGCCCGGCAGAGCCGGTTCCGGCTTCAAATGACCACTCCATCCACAGGTGGTCTTCCTACGTTACTCCCTCGCCGTATGCGCCATACCCAAAGGAGGCCCTCCAGGAGCACCAGGGCGCCCAGCCCAACGGACTCATCAAGCAGCAAGATGCAAAGGGCAACGACAAGGAAAACATCCCCGCCCAAGATGGCCAGGCCAACGGCCAAAGTAATCAAGAGGTGGCCCGCAAACCCATAACCGTTGTGCTACGCCCCACGCCAGAAAGTCTGGCTAAGGATCTGGCATTGGGCATCAGCAACCCCATGTCCAAGATTATGGCAATTCCGCCAACTCCCGGCGCCTCTGCCCAGCCAGTACAGACACCCATGGGGCCACCCCGTAGGAAAAGAAAGCTGGACCAGATTGACCTGGACCCGAGCAACCTTGTGGCCGCCGAGGCCCAGATCTTGCTAAGCACCCTACCACCTCTCGACTTGGAACCGACAAGAGATGCTGAACAGCTTATCTTGAAGCTCGAGCAGCAAATAGTATCAGACCCAGCGCATTCGCATGCCCCACCGGAACCCAAACGACGCAAGAAGACAGACGCCGAGCTGGCAGAGGAAGACGCCAATGCCAGGCAGATGGAGCAGTATATGCTTGCGTGCGACGAGCGCAGGTCCAACAGGGCTGCTGGTGCCCCAGGAGCTGGTCATGGGTCAGATGGGACAGGGCAAGCCACCGGCTCAGGGTTCGAGCCGCGCTTTAACCAGTTCCAGCTTCTCGAAGAGATCAAGGCCCGGGTGGAACAGGAGAAGGCCGAGAAGGAGCTTCAGGAGGCCGAGCAAAGGCGGATCCTAGCCATGAAGCAACGGGAACAGCAACAGCAGCAGTTGGCAGCCGCTCAGGCAGCGAAGCAACAACAGTTGGCGGCGGCCCAAGCGCAGGCGGATCAGCAGCAACAACAACAGCAGCAGCAGCAGCAGCAGCAGCAGCAACAAGCCTTGCTTATCGCTCAACAAAAACAAATGGAAATGGAGCGCTTGAAGAAGGAGCAAAACCAAAAGAGAATGGCTATGGTGCAGGCCCAGCAGCAGCAACAGGCTCAGCAACAACAAGCTCAACAGCAAGCGCAAGCTCAAGCGCAAGCACAAGCTCAAGCACAAGCCCAGGCTCAGGCTCAGGCTCAGGCTCAGCAGCAGGCCCAGCAGCAAGCCCAACAGCAAGCCCAGCAGCAGGCCCAGCAGCAGGCCCAACAGCAGGCCCAACAACAACAGCAGCAGGTCCAGCCGACTTCGATGGGGACACCACATACTATGCCTGCTACCATGCAAAATAGCCCGAATTTGGGTAGCAACATGCCTAATGGTGTAGCTAGGTTCCCTCAAGTATCGCAAGGCCAGGTATCATCACCGATTATCCGGCAAAATACGCCACAGATGGCATCGTCACCCATGGTCAACAGCGTGGCCATGCAAGCTTCCAATTCCAACATGGGCGGGAGCCCGGCACGACCGCCATCTGTGGCTCCAAGCCACGGTCCGATGTCCGTTCCCATGGCTACCAGTATGTCTGCTAGAGGCAGTCAACAGAGCCACGCAGCTGGAACGCCTAGGATGCCCAGCGCTACCCCTAACATGGTTCACGCAACGCCCATGAGCCGTCCTTCCGTCGTACCAACGCCACGCCTGTCCCAGGCAAGCCCACCACCTGGAATGATGGCGAACCAGCAAGTTGGCCAGGCCATGCTGATGAACGGCCCCACGGGAATGCCTCAGATGGGCGGTATTTCGGTTCCACCACAAAACATGAATCCTCAACAGGCTGCTGTCTTCATTGCTCAACAACAGCGAGCGCTCCAGCAACGCATGGTTGCTGCTGGTCTTCAGGGACATGGCAACCCCATGATGGCCGGGCAGATGACACAAGCCCAGTTACAACAACGGTTTGCCCAGCAACAGATGCTCGCTGCTCGCCAACAGCAGCAGCAGCAGCAGCAACAACAGCAGCCGCACATGATGGCTCCTGGCACTCGAGATATTGCTGCGCAGTACTCTGCCCAGCTGGCTACCATGCAACACCAACAACAACAACAGCAGCAATACATGGGTCAGATGCAAGGGCAGATGCGCGCGGGTATGGTTGGTCAACCAGGGCAAGCGGGAATGATCAATATGGCCAGTCTAAACCCTCAACAAGTAGCCTTGATGCAACAACAGATCGCCTTGCGACAGCAACAGCAACAGCAACAAATGGCCCAACAACTCCAACAGCAGCAAGCCGCACAGCAAGGCCAGCCCGGCGTTTCCGCTCCCGGCCAACCCGGCATGCACGGCCAAGTTGGTGTCCCCCGGCCTAACCCCGCGATGCCGCCAATAAGCCAGCAGCAACTGGCTGCCCTCTCCGTCAACCCAGCTGTGATCCAGCAGATCAACAATGTGACGAGCTCGCTGTATTCCAAGAAGCTTCCCAATTTTGCCGAGAAGTGGGGAGGTCAGCCGGCCAATATCCCGCCAGGGGAGTTGGAAGCGTTCAAGAACCAGTGTCGGCAGCATGCAAAGACCATGGTGATACAGAATTTTCTCAAGACACAACAGCAAGCGCAGGCACAGGCGCAGGCGCAGATGGCAGGACAGGCTGGTGGACACGGTCAGTTGAGCCAGCAGCAGATGCAGCAGATGGCTCAGCAAATGAACGCTGGCCAGATGGGCCAGGGAGGGATGCAGGGACAGATGGGCAACGGTATGGCTGGGCAGATGAACGGTATGGCTGGCCAAATGGCAGCACAACAAATGGGCCAGCAGATGGCCGCCGGGCAGATGAATCCCATGACGATGCAGCAGTTGCAACAACATATGCAATTGCAGATGGCGGCTCAACAGGCTGCTGCTCAACAGGCTGCTCAGCAACAACAACAACAGCAGCAGCAGCAGCAGCAGGGTCAACAGCAAGGGATGATGGGTAATCAGCAGGGGATGTAGGACGTTCCTCCTGACGTTCCTGGAGTTGATGTTGAGGAAGACGATGATGGTCATGAGAATGGAAGTGATCAGCAAGAGGCTCAAGAGCAACAAGGTCAGCAGCAACAGGGTCAGCAAGAGCAGGGTCAGATGCAACAAGGTCAGCAGCAACAGGGAGAAGTGCAACAGGGGATGATCATGCCTGAGCAACAGGATCAACAGGGACAACAGGGGATGTAGCATGGCCTGATTCCTGTTGAGATAGAGAATCACAGGGAAGAACAAAGGGAAAGACAGGAACTGCTTGATCGAGAGTCCAAGGAGATAGGGCAGCAGGATGAGCAGGCTACTCAAACTGAACCTCAAGCCGAATCACCCAGTGCAAGGAAAAGAAAACGTAAGCGTGAGTACGCGAAGGAATGGTATTGGACGAACAGAGAGCGTAAGCGTAAGTACCATGCGGAATGGTATCGGACGAGCAAAGCTTTGCTGTAGCAGGAGAATGACGAGCAGGCTACTCAACCTGGACCTCATATCGAATCAGAGCGGCAAAGCCGAGCAAGGCATCGTCGAGAGTACATCAAGAAATATTGTCGGGAAAAGAGAGCTCTACAGCGGCAGCAAAAGCAGGAGCAGGAACAAAACGAGCAGGCTGCTCAAGCCGAATCCCAATTCGAACGCTCAAAGAGTCAAGGACAGACGTGACCCTGCCTTTCACATTGGAGGCATTTGGACTGATTGATGGCGTGTGTACATTTCTAGATCCTCTTCTTCCATGCATAGATAGGTCCTTTTATACCCTAACTCTGGCAGTAACTGGATAGGGTTGGTTGCTTTTGGAGGAATCATCAGGAAACGGTAATAGGCGATATGAGACAGGAAATAGGAAACAGGCAATAGGAAATGCGGAAAAGGATAGGATAGGCTAGGCTATTCATCAGTGGCAGCGCTGTTTCACAAAAGGTTCTTTTTTTTTTTTTCTTCACGTAGTCGAGATATCCAACATTGATTGTTATGGTTCTTCATGGTTTCTGGACTGTGGTTCTTCATCAAGTGCTTCATTGCTTCTTATCATGTGATGTCTCATTGCTCATTCATGTATGAGGTTTCCCAGCAGGTAGAAGTAGCAAGTAAGCAAGCAAGGAAGCAAGCAAGCAATTAATATGCTTAGCTACATACTATACCATACTATATCGAAAACGGAAATGAACAAAGATCAAAGATCAGAGTACTCACTTGTTGGTTTACTTTCCACGGGCAGCTAAAGCTTCAGATGGTGATACGGTTTGTTCCCCATCACCAGCAAAACCACGAAAGTAGTTTAGTAGGTAGGTAGTTTGTAAGAATGAATACTGAAAGTGGATATGGACAGTCAGTTTAGTCGGTCGGTCCTCCATATCACTACTCACTTTCTGCCTTCTTTCACTCTTTGCATTCCTTCACATCCCTTGTGTCACTCCAGCTCATCTTGATTATTGCAGAACCAATATTTGTACTACCCCGATAGACAAAAGAAAAAAAAAAAAAAAAAAAAAAAAAAAAAAAAAAAAAAGGAAAGGACACAGACTCGAGAAGATCACCTCTAGATAAGAAGTGGTCAACAGGTACGGCTAAAACCCTTCCTCCCACTTCTGGCTTTCGACTTTCAACTTTCGACTTTCGACTTTCGACTTTCGACTTTCGACTTGCGCAACTACCTGCAACTAAAAAGCCTTCCTTTCCTTTCCCTTCCTTTTCTGTCGGACGGGCAGTCAGTCGGAGTACCTAGCCCACCCGTTTTACGTTCCTTCTAATTCTAATTCCCGCCCGCCCTTTATAATACCATTAACTTTCCTCATGTTTCCATTCGAAGATGCCAATACCTACCTATACCTTGATGAGATTCAGTGAACATAAGTGACATGGTGTAGAGGTAGGTACCTACCTACATCTCCTCTACTGGATTTGTCTGTCTGTCTTGTCTTGTCTGTCTGTCATACTACAGCTTAGATCGTCAAAGGTGCCCGGTATGTAGCTGAAGTACGTACGTACGTACGTACCAACAGGTGATTTGCTATATTCCTTCAAGAGTTGCAGCACTTTGAATTAGTGCCTATTATGTCCATGTCAGTCCGATGAGCCTTACCTTACTCAAGCTGAGCCACGCCACGCCACGCCGCGTGATTCCTCTTCTTCCTTTCCTTCCCTTTTCTTCCTTTTCTTCTTCTTCTTCTTCTCCCTTCCTCAACCACCTCGATATCTAGCTACCCACCTACCTACTCCTACCCACCTTACTGAATCCGGCGGTCGGTCCACGCAAGCAGTCAAGTCAAGTCTAGGTAATCGAGTCAAGTCAAGTCGAGTTATTAGTGTCGAGTAGTAGAGTCGAGTCCAGCTCCAAGTCCCTCCCATTCCAACATACCCACCTCCCCCTAACCGGGACCAGAACCGCACGACGACACACGGCACACGACATATACGACTCCTAACAAACAAACAAACCACAAGCTCCGCCATCCAAAAAGCTCCTTACCTACCTAGATATGGTAACTCGAGTCCTCGCCGCGCAATAATAACACGACACGCACTATGCACCACGCAGCCTGCAGCCCGCACGCAGCCAAGCTACGCTCCCCTGCGCCACGGACGTCCTTACCTTACCATTCTCATCACTCACCCACGTGGTTTCTTTCGAGGCGTGCAAGGCTGTATTTCCTACCTTTTTTTTTCTTGTGCTTTGCTTTCCTTGCTTTATCAAGTACATTAGCTACTATGAAACGAAACACGATGGCGCTTCGGTTCGCTTGTTTGATACCTACCTACATACATACCTTACCTACTTCTACCTAGTGAACCTACGTAGTGAGCCTAGTGAACCTAGTCTACCTACCTACGCACGTGGTTGTGGACGAAGAACCGGAGCAAACGGCCGGGACCGAAATGGCCATGTCAATGCAGACAAGCCAAGATTTCTTGTCTTTTTTTTCTTCCCCTCCCCCCTGTCATCTTCTTCTTCTGGGAAACAATCTACAATTACTACGACTAGTCTCTCTTTTCTCTAGTTCCTTCTGTCTTGGGCTATCGTCCTTCTCCAGACCCTTTCAGCCATGGTTTTAAATTGTCATATGTCATATCTCAGATCACACGTAACACTTAGGTTACCTAAGAAGTTACTTTTACGCGTCACTAGGTAGTCTACTGCCCCTCGCTGACTTTCTGAAGCCTCCATGTCGCTCACTGCTTCCCCTCTCTGATTCCTCTAGGTTGCGGATGAGAATCCATCGTGGCCCCCTGCTGTCCATCATTGCCTTGAACGTAGTAAACGGTCTGTCGTCCCTTGGACTTTGGGGCTGACTGTGGGTATTTCAAGTCTGGAAGTGACATTTATTGGTTCGGTGATGCCGCACAGAGAATGCGAACCATACCCAATGCCTCTACCAGGATAGATATGTCAGTAGCGCTATCATCGATGTGATATTCTTATCCAGCCGGAAACAGCATAGACTGCCCGGTGAGCACGTGGGGCGGGCCGGGGAATCCTCATTCAATCATCCTGACATGCTACATAGCCTACCTTAACTCTTTGTTCATCATCTTGTTCATCAGCTCCTCATCTTGTCAGCACCAGCTCGTTAACGAGGTAAGGCTTTGCCAATAGTCTTTGCCTCCATTCCCTACTTGACCGACTTGCTACTCTTTGCGGCAATATCCTGGAAAATCTCAAGACTTTCCCCGTCTGTGGTGTGGTAAAGGTGGCTCCATACACACATGGGTAGCCGTGTTTGAGCCGTTCGTCAAGGCCGCGCACACCTCGAGCGGGACGAAAACTAGGTGTGCGAATGACATGATATGGAAACAATGATTACTGAGATTACTCAGTGGCAGGGACCAAAATTGGACTACCGGGGAAGAGATGAAGGGGCGCCGCCATGATTAGAACTATGCATGGAAGCAGATCAACGGGACTAAAAGACAAGCAACGTCTTTTTCGGGGGGCAAAGGACAGAGTGTGCGTCAGAGTGAGAAAAGGAAGGATCAGTAAGCGAAAAGAAGACAACCTAGGAAGTCGTAAGCTCGCTTGAGGTTTGTCTTGGCGAGAAACTGAAGTTCTGCTGCTACCGTTTTGACCATGGATGTTGGAGAGCGTCATAATGGCACATGGTTTCCCGTGTATTTCGGTCCCGAGCCCAATACGATTTCCATCTAAACCTGCTTTGTTGTAGCGGAAAGTGAGAAGTGAGAGATACACCTATGTGAACCTGGTGGCAACAGGGTCCTGATAGACTACCAGGGGGGTTTTGTTGCTCGCTTGCTTGGGGTAGGAGTGGAAGCAAACATCGCGGCTGCGGGGGGGTTGCTTGCTGCGAACCTGGTCAAGCAGGGGACTGTGGGGGACTAGACGCGCGTGTGTTGGGTTGGTTCGAGAAAGAGGAAGACGGAGCAGAACAAAAAAGCAGGGACTCAAGTTTGTCGCACGTCATGTCCGCTTTTTCGAATCCTGGCCAGATGTGCTACTTTTGCGCATCATGGACCAGATCCGGCGAGGGCCCCGAGAGGTAATGGACTCCTTCGACCGTCAACAAGGGGTCCAGCGCAGGTTTACTAATAAAGCTATTTTCGTAGGCGTCAAACATGCTGATAATCGCTGCTCACTTGGGACGCCAACACCAACGGTTTTGCACCCAATGGCCCCCAAAATAGTCCAAGAAAACGTGGCCCAGGGTTTCGAACAAGGTTCTGTGGAAGATGTACGTCGTCGTCGTCGTCGTCGTCTTCTGCACCATGCAGGAACTACTGCACCCACTTCTTCAACGTCGTTCGGATGCAGTACCATGCAACCTTTGTGACGGAAGCAGGCATGCATCCGAAAGCCTCGACCATGTTACACCACTTAATGGAGCAAGAATACCGCGGCGTACACGTGCCAAACACCCCCGTGGCGCACTTGACATTTCCCAAAGCTGCATCCTGCCTCACCAGGGGCACGAGATCCGTGTAACACGCTTGTGGAGCCTCATAAAGGACAGCCTGGAGGCGGTCTGCAAGTGGCTTATATGTCATTTGGACACCATGATGCCGTCCAGCCCGATCCACCTATCCAGTAAAGTAAAAAAAAAAAAAAAAAAAAAAAAAAAAAGGTTCGTCACACTATCGATTCGGTAAACCCTCACTTTCTTGAATCTGTTGGAGGCTTTCGCCGAGGTGGCTCTATCGCTGATATTCAACCCAGAAAGGTCTGGACCATGGACACTCCTCTGGTCGGCACAATGATGCCATATCTGAACAAAGCAATCAGCGATATGCCCCACTCGGTGAAGCTCCAAACATCGGACCTCGGTGTCTTGTCAAGTATGTCGTATATGTAGCTCAGGTTATACCAGGTATGTCAACCTGCGACGCTATGAAGCAGCCTGTTGAGCCAGATGGTGTGCAGGAAGACCGATTAGGAGATGTTCTTGCGCCGGATGTTTGCCATGGGCGGCTATCAACGGATGATCATTGCAGCAGTTCGCATCAGGCAGGAACAGGTATATCGCCGTTTCCGTCTCTGGGAGTGAAGTCTGTCTTGCTGAAGGCCAACCAGTCATATGGCCGGACGGGTAGGGTAAACGGCACACTCCAGAAGAGGAGAACCTACACTAGCGGGTTCTGGATGGTGATGAGATTGTCACATCAATATTCAGGTTGCACGGACGGCAAGTGATGCACCTGTTCCAAAATGTGCGACCAACTCTTCAAAGAACTGACATGAACCTCGACGGTCGCGGAACAAGCCGAGCCAAAACCAGGCTCAAATATATCAGGGTTTTGCTTGACGCAGGAACAGACTGCCCTGGAACAGAAAGGGGGTTCCGACTTCTCTAGTGAGACCCCCTGCTGTTGAGATGGGTGCAAGGGCAGCAGTCCAATGGAGAGAGAGAAACAATAAACATACCGCCATCTAATGGCAAGAATCGAACCATCGCCCAGGCAAGCAGTAATTCCCATGCCGTCGTAAGCAAGGTTGCAGCATTTGCCATGTGGAGGCCACTTTGGGACCTCGGCCCCTGCGTGAGTGTGAGTGTGTGTGTGCTGGGGGACACCGTGAGAGGTGAGTAGTGTCATGAAATGGGAGAGGAGAAAACACTTGAATACGGGTTGAGTGTGTGTTGGTGACAAGGGGCTGAGTGACTTCCGAACGGTAGCTTGGCCAACTGTGGTTGTGAAGGAGAGCAAACACTGGGCTCCAGGTGTGGCTGAGAGAGATGAAGGGCAGAGGCAGTATGGTGGATCTCGAATGAAGCATCCGAATTAAACCACCACCTACTTTGCATGGTCTGGTCAGTCAGTCAGTCAGTCATCCATCCATCGCTGTTGGAAGTAAGGGAAATCAGTAGAAAAGTTGAATCTCGATGTCGTGCAGGCCATTGAACAGTCGCGGGGAGATTTATGAGTTTTAAGGGCCGATAAAAAGGCGGACAGGGAGAAACGGTTTTTGATGACTTTGAGACATTCAAGACAGACATTGGAGTTGGACTCCGGCATACGGAAAAACGGCGAGCCGCAAGCCCGCAGTCGGCCCTTGACACACTGGCCCGTGGTCCGTGACATTGACCAAGAGGTCCGTGCACTTGCAGCGGCATCTAAAAAGATCTGCAGTGGTGGATATGAAGGAGTTCCAGGTGGTGTGTGAAAAAGGTCCGGACACCGGCTGGATCTGGTTTGGAATCTAGTGTTGATGCCAGGCGACGGCCAGGACAGCAGCGGGACGGGATGGGATGCAGGAAGGAACACTGAGACTCCAAATCCCCCGCCCCGAGGGGTTCAAAGAAAAGAAAGATGCTGGTAGACAATGGACAGCGGACGATGGCGGTCGCGCCCGTGTTTGCCTGAGTGATGACTCTTTGTCCAGTGTCCCGTCTCCTCTGCTAATAAAAGCCTTTGAGGGTATCGTGAACGGGGGCTGAGCAAGAAATCCCTTTAACGGTGAAAATTCAACATTTTAGCGTCGCAGGGATTAGCAGCCAATCGGTTTCCTAAACTGCCTGCAGGATACTTTTTTGCCCATGCAGCTACCTTGATATCACCAAATCGCCCACCACGTAGCAGGTATACTCGGTACCCTGTGGGGGCCGCTAAAATGTTGAATTTTCACCGTTAAAGGGATGGATGCATTTGCAGTGGAGTGGAGGATCGATTGATGCTCCCGAAACGTTGAGGCTCCAGGCGGGGGTTTGGTTGCAGGAGTGAAGCCGCTACAAGATTACCCTGACGGACCGGAAAGACCAGGGCAATCTCGTGCCCGAACGGACAAGTGTTCGACGAGGTCGCGAGAGGCACAAAGTGGCTCCTCTCCACAAATTGTACCTGGCTCGAGGTCACCCGGATACGTGATTGGTTGGAAGAGGGTTGCTGTCCCACTTGCCTCGCGTGCAAAAGTCATAGATGGGACAGTGCGATCAACGTCAAAATAAGGTTGTTAGGGAAGGTGGGGTCAGAATGTCACCCCGTTGCCCCTGCTAGATTGGTGTAGAATACGGGCACGAGCAGGGGTATTGATTTAGTAGAGGGTGCAGACTGTGTATTGTGTAGAGCTCTATGCTGGGGAAATTCCTCATACAGAAAATCTAATATCGAGGTAATGCCAGCGTGGCCAATTTACGTAAGGTAGTTGGGCTGGCTACCTTAGTTACCTCTTTTATTTAATATACTCCCCCAATTGAATTGGAATTTAGGGAGGCTATTATCTTTAAAACTATTTATAGATCCTATACTCTTTCTATTCCTTTTCTAGTAGTCACTTTTAAAAGTATTACCTACTCCCTTTTCTATTAATAGGAAAGGTCAACAATACCCTTTTCAATAATTAAACTACTAAGTCCCATAATTTAGTAATTAGGGTATTAAAGTATTATTCTTAACTATCCGCCTATTATCTCTTAAGTATATTTAAAAATATAATTAGTAAATTACTTCTAAATAATATACCCGAAGGTCGTAGGTTCGAATCCTACCGGGACTACTCTTTTTACCTTTTTCTTCTTTATATAATTAAATTACTATATTAGTACCTCTCAATTTTTAGAGGTTATTTTAGCCGTATAGTATAGGAAGGCTATTTATACCTATAATAATACTATCTTAGATTTTTATCGCTCAATTACTCTCTTTAGCCAATCCTCTTCATTAATTATAATTAAATAATTCACTTTTATTATTACTAACTCCCTTCTCCCTCCTCGTTTCACTTTAATATTTATTATATTAAATTACTTTATAAACTCTTAATACTTATACGCATTAAGCACTTTAATAAATCCATCGGCAATTATCTTACTAGTAAGTATATAATATACATTAATAAAACTACGTTATTAGCCTTCTTTAAGCTAATAATTATAAATATTAATATACTTAAATTTAATTTAGACTTTAGAATTCTCCTTAGTAATAAAGTGTATTATTTATTTATTATTATAACCGAAGGGGATAATTTCAATCCCGAATCGAAGGGTAAAGGAGTTAAAGAGTTTCTTAACCTATATACCTTCCTTTACTCCTTAAATAAAGAATAACAATTCTACTTCAATTATTAAAATAATAATTATATTTTATTTATTAGTACGCTAATTGATTATACTACTAAATAATTATATTACAAATTCTTATAAGTTTCTTCGGTCGTTAATATTATCGATAAAGAATATATTAGTATAGACTTTAAATTTATTACTTCCTCTTAATTAGAGGGTATAATAATTAGTACTACGAAGGTATATCTTTATTCGCTCGACTACCGAATAATAAATTAGTCTAGGATTAATTAGAAAGCGAACTAACTAGGATAGTATAAAAGTAATATTGGGTTTAATAATAATAGTAAAGTATAAGACTACTCTAATTGCCTATTAATACAATTTAATTACGTACTATATAGAGAATTAAAGCTAGGAAGTAAGCTCTTTAACTATTATAGAAATATTAGGGGGTTTCTTCTTCTATTTAATTCCTTCGGTTATTTTAAGGATATATTCTTACTAGGATAGTTAGAATAAGCAGCGCGGGCAGTCTCGAATAATTTTAATACTTAAAAAATATTAGATATTTTAACTACTAATTAATTAATAATATTATTTAAGAGTAATAACTATTCCCTCTACAAATTATAAATATTCTAATTTATAAATAAGAATAATATTATTAATATAAAAAAAAACGATTATACTCTCTTTAATTAGTATATATAATTCTATAAAAATAGGAGTAAGGCCGACTTTTATAAGAGTCTTAGTAAACTCTTTTTATTAAAATAATAAAGAATATTATAATTTATATAGAATATATAATAGCTTTATATAAATAATCTTGTCTAATACCGTATTAATAAAGGTATTAACTATATCGTACTACTTAAATTTAAAATTAAAGTAGGTAGCAATTACTATTATAATCCTAAAAGATCGGACTGTAAGGGTAGTAGCGTACATTTCTCGTATATTATTATATAATTATTAATTTCTTTAAATTACTAAACAAATTTTATATTTAAAGTAATACCTTTCCATATTGAACTTATATATATATACTTATATTAAACCGAATAATTCAGTAGTTGTATTAGTATACTACTCGTCTTTATCAACCTACGCCTACAATTTCTTCTCCTTATAATTTTTTATATACTTTCGTTTAATTTTATAAAAGAAATTACTAAATAAATAATAATTAAAGTCTCTATAAACCCGCAAAGGAGGAGGGAACTCTCGTTAGTAGAGATTGGCTAAAGTATTAAAATCGTTATAACGATTTATAATATTTCTAATTAACTTCGAATCGTTAGAGAACTTCTCTCCTTCCTCCTTCTTACTAATAGCCGTACGTTTCAACCGGTTAAAGGTTCCCTTATCGATAGGCCGTCTATTATATAACCTAATATTTATTTTATTTTATTTAAAGTAATTAAGAAGGACCTAACTTAATAGTGGTATTTATTATACGTTAATTAATTCTATTAAGGGTATAATATATTAAAGCTATTAATAAAGAACGATATTAGATTTTCTAGGAGAGTAAGATAACCCGTTTCCCCTTTTTTATTTATTATTATACTCTATTAATTGTTTTATAGCTATAATTCTAGTACTAGAACTCTAATATCCTCTCTTTATTTCTCTTCTTATATATATATAAATTCAGTTAATTCGGAAATTATAGTACTATTAGCGGCGGATAGGGATTTAACGACCGCATCGGTCTCTTCGTCTTCTACTTCGGCGCTTCTAGTAGGTAGCGAATCGGATATATTAAATTTTAATTAATAAATATTATTCAATTATATAATTAATTCTTTAAAGGAAATATTAAAAGTATTATAGAATTTTTCGATTTTACTTATAAAGATGTTATCTTCGTTAAAGACTATATTTTCTATTGCAATTACTTAGTTTATATATAGGTTCTAAATATAATAAATATTATTAGGTTAGTAGCCAACTAAATACTTTATTTAAATATATTATTTGAACTTCTAGATCCGTTTTTAATTGCGTAGGATATCGACTATAAGCGTAAAAGCTTTATAATTTTAAATTTTAAATTAGGATAATCGTAATATTAGTCTTTACTAACCGCCGTTATAATTAATTATATATATAATAAAATATTCTTCTAGGAATTTCTAATTGAATTCCTATTATAGAGTGAAGTTTAATAAGTATACTGCTACTATTATTATTTCTCTTTAGAATTCTTATAGTAAATTTATTAATTCTCTTATTATTACCGAATTTTCCTTAATTATACCCTCCGAACGCTCGGCGCTACTATCCTATACTTAGGTATATAAAGCCGAAAGTTCGAGAACTATACTTCGCTTTATTAAAAAGGTAATAATATAGGGTTTATTTATAGTTATTTTATTATTATATTTAATTACCCTTGGTCGGATTAAGTAATAAAGTTAAAAACTATTAAATAACAATATTAGTATAGTAATAATTAAGTCTACTATTTAATCCGGTAAATAATATAACTATACCTTCCTAAAAAGCCAGAGGCTAGCGGTTATTAAGTATATTATTAATTATTAGAACGATTGTCCGTATAACTTTAGAAATTTATTGAGATCGATAAATTTGAAATAACGCCAAAACCGGAAACGCCGATTTTTAGTTGAGGAGTACTCTAAAACGAAAACTAATAATAGCAATCGATTTAAGAAGGTTATTTACATCCCTTATAATATCCTACAACAAACGTAGCGATAGTATTGTATTATTATTACCGATAATTATAAATAGCGGTACTCGTAGGTTCGAAAATAGTATCTATAACCCGCTCGTAGAAATTTCCGTATATAACGACCCTGAAGCTACGTTTATTATAAAGACTTCAGACAAAATGGAGGAAGATAATAAAATACTAAAGAAGTTTATTATTAGAGCAAATAAGTTTGTAAACTATAATATCATTTTAATTAAGGATTAATATTAGGTTCGAAAATTATTTTTCGAATTTATATATGTTCGCGTTAGAAGAAGTAGGTCGGTGCGACCCGAGGCTAATAAGGTTAGAACTAACTAATTTATTACTAAAAAGGATTTTAATAATTTGAAGAAAAATATTTTAAAAGAGATTAAAAAAAGGTATTTAAGAGGTACCGAAATAATAGGCTGATATTATAGACGAAAATTATTTTAAATAAAATTAATATTACCTTTTAATAATTATTTATTATTATTATTAAAAAGTTTATCCCCTTTAATTTCGAACAGTAATTTACTATTAAGGGAGTAATTATTACTATTAAATTTATAAATTATTTGAACGAAAATACAAAAACGTTTATAGTAACGACCCTAGGCTAAAAGAAATTAAATTTAATAATTAAAATAATTATTAGAATACTAATATTTGGAAATTATATAATTATTTTCGATAAGTCTATATATAATTAGTATTAGTAAAATTAAGTATAAGCTATAAAAGTCTTTAGTAAAAAAGCTTTTATTATTATAAATATTATGAATATATTAGTCCGGGGCGTACTTTAAAATAGTATTAATAATTATATTATAGTAGGAATATTAATAAATATAGCGAGGGATAAAAATAAAGAGGTAATTATTATAAAAATTCGGTTTTAAAAAAGAAGGGACGGAGAGAGTAGAAGTTTACTTCTAATAGAAATTATTTTTTTAAAAATAGCGAGCTTCTTTTAAGATAATTTTTTTCTTTTAAGACGGTAATATATACTTTTACGAATCGTTTTAAACTTTGAATAATATTTAATAGTACTTTAAATATTAGGGGATTAAATATATAGTAAAATTCTATTACTAAGAAGATATATACGCTTATTATAGTAAAATTAAATATAATAGAGATTACTTTAATAAAGTAAATTAATTATTAAATAAAAATAAATTATTAATATATTATAAATTATATAGGAAGAAGGGATATTTTATTTATAATTATAAGGAATATTCCCTTCTCCGGAAGGCTATTGCAAAGGTATCTATTACGTACGTTGAGAGGTTGTAGGCGTTCGCCCCTCTTGTAAAAACCCGGCCGGAAAAGTATTAAAGTTAGTAATAGAGACTACAAACAAGGGTATTTTACTAGACGCTCCTCTTAATTCCCGTATTATTATTACTTTAGAGAAATAAATTAGAGGAAGTACGAAGAGAGAATAACCGAAAAAAATTATTAGTTTAATATTCCGCCCAAAACCCTTAGCCTAATAAAGCTTAATAAATATATATTATCCGTACTCCTAAAGTGTAGGGAATTAAATATAAAATAGTAATAGTATTTATATAGTTACAATTCTCCTAAGAGAAATAATATTTTTATTCTCTATTAAAGAATTAGTAGGAATTCTATTTTAGAATAATTAATAATTTGATTAAAAATATTCTATTAAAATATAGGGAAATTATATTAAAGAAGGAAGTTTTTATTCGAATAAGAGGAGATTTATAATATTATAGTAATTTAGGAGCCGGGTAGAAATTTGAATAAAAATATTTACTATTCTAGGGGCGGGAGGTATTTTAGGGTTAATTATATAAAGTAAAGAAGAGTAATAATATATATAAATAAGAAATAAAATTTAAAGGATTTCATCTTTTAAATTAGAAGGGATTAGATTATAGTAATATTTAAAAATTTAAAGAATTTAACGACAGTTTATTCTATTTATTCCCCTATCCTAATATAAAGAATATTAGAATATTAATAGGGGTCCCTACTCTTCGAATTCCTCGAAGTTAGACCCTTAGTAGGAAATTAAATTATTATTAAGAAGGACTTTAACCTTTATTATTCTAATTAGAATTTAGAGAATAGGATTAATTTAGGGGCTATATATTTTCTTATATAGGTATAACATTGGAAGTTTAATTTATTTACTACTCGTAATAAATTAATAAAGTTTAATAATATAATACAAAGAGAGAGAAATAGAATAATTAATTATATATAATTATTATTTAAGATTAAAGCCGAATATTAGGGAATATAACGGTACAAGTAAACCAGTTCGAACTATTACTTTTAGGAAGTTTAAATCTAAGTAAAAAGAAAAAACGGGAGGGTAAAAGAGGAAGGAAACTATAATTAGAATTTTATAAATATAGTAAAAGTAAAGAAAGCAGCGGAAGAACGGATTTCGGTACTAGAAAGGATTAATATAATAGAAGATTTCGAATAAGGATTTTGTAAATTCAATAGAGAATTTACTAATATAGCGAAAGAATTTATTTTATATTAGAAGAGAAATTAAAGGAGGAGAGCGAATTAATAAATATTAGAATATAAGACGGTTATAAAGGAAGTACAATAAAAATATTAGAAATAATTTAAATACTAAATACTATTAAATTAAAGGGAATTTATTAAAATAATAGTAAAAAAGAAGAAAATTATTTCGAAAGTATAGTAGGCTATATAGTATAAAAGTACCGCTAAAATTTTAAAGAACCCGAATCGATTTTAACCTTTAGAGAAATAAATTTAAATTTAAAATTATTATTTAATAGATCCGCCCAAATTATTAGCCTATTAAATTAATAAAGGGGTAGTAGAAATTAAAGACTATAATAGTAAAGCCGAAATCTTTACTAATTATTTCTTCCTAAAAGTAAATATTTTAATAGAGTATTTATTAGATTAGATTAAATTAATAAATAGCGTTAATTTAATAATTATTAGTAAATTAATTACCGAAAAGGATATTTAAAACATCCTCTCCCGGACAGTATTTAATAAAGCCCCGGATGTCGATTAATATTTAAATAAATTTTTAAAATTGTATAGGCTATTATTCTAATAAATAATAATATATTTAATAACCACTAGCCTCCGGTTTGGGTATTTCCTATAACTATTTAAAAATATAAAAGTAATTATCCTTAAAAAATTTAGAAAAAGCGCTGCTTAATAAAAGCTAACGGGCGTATAGAGACCTATATTACTATTTAATAATATTAGAAAGATCTTTAAAGCTTTTATGATTAAATAATTTATATAAGTAGTTAAAGAATTTAATTTCTTACCGGAGGGTTAGATAGGTAATTAAGTAAATTATTCGACGGAGTTTATAGTCCGGGTAGTTATTAATATAGTCTATACGGTATAGAAATTCGGAGTCATAATATCCTTTATATTCTTTAATTTGAAAGGCGCATTCAATAGGGTTAATTATAAATAACTTCTATATATTTTATAGGAAATATAATTCCCAATATAGATTATTAAATAAATAATAAACTTTATTATAGAAAAGAAAAGTATTTTCTTCTTTAATAATAAAATATTTTAGCCTTATATTATTATAATAAATATACTTTAAAGCTCCCTACTTTTATTTATTTTATTTATTCTCTTTATTACTCTATTATATTAGAAGTTAATAATAATCCCTAATATAATTATAGTCAGCTTTATAAATAATACTAATATTATTATAGTAATTTATACTATTAAAGAAAATTGCCGGACCTTGTAGGTAGTATAGAAGATATATTCGGAATAGGTAGGGGCGAAAGGTATAGAGTTCGAAGCGAATAAAATAGAATTAATATATTTTATACAAATAAGGGTACTAAGGATAAAAAAAATTTAATTTAAGAATATGGTATTTTAATTAATAGAATTAATAAGATTTTTACGGGTTTAGTTAAATTATAAATTCAATTATAAGGTTTACGTAGAAACAATTAAAAAAAATTTAAATAAATATATTTATAAAGTTAATAATACAAACCAAAAGTTATCCCTTTATTCGGGTAAAGAAAATATATATTAAATATATTTATAGTATTATTATATATAGAACTTTAATATTTTATTAATTAACCAAGATCTATAGAAAATTATAAAGGATTGTAATTAGGTTAGCAAAATACTAAATTAAATATTTGAAAATTATTATTAGGGTATATAAAGCTATACTAATACAGAATTTAGAAATAGAAACCTTTTATTTATTATTCGACTTCTACCTTAATAAAAGAATTTAGGCTTTTAAAGAAAAGCTTATTAGTATAGACTAAATAAGGTTCGTCCGGAGAATAGTAATTTAAGTAATTAATTATATTTAGGTATAATAGATTAGAAATTGGTTACCTACTAATAAATTAGAGAGTAGTATAGTTAAAACTAATTAAATTAAAGTATAAGTACTAATAGAAAAATTATTAATAATTATAGCCGGTCCCCCTCCGGAATTAAGGGCCCTACTACTACGATAATAAATCCTAGAACCTACGGCTATTGACCGAGAAAAATAATTAGAAAATATAACGAATAGAGAGTAGGTATTATATTATAATTATTAATTAATAGTAGTCGTAATTAAATTAGATCGACGGTACAAATTTACTATCGCCGACCTTACCCCTAAATTTAATAGTAAAATTATTTAATAATATATAATCGGTACGAAGAAGGAAAAGAAACGAAAGAAAAATCGAACGCTAGAAGAAGATAATAATAAATTATACTTACTAACTAAAGTAAAGAGTTCCTTCCTAATCTAAGCTAAAATAGAAGTTATAAGACTCCGGGCTTTTCTCTTTCGAAAAAAGGTATTAAGTATTTAAATACTTATTTACGCCTACGGATTAGAAAAGGAAACCTTCGCCTATTTTATTTTAAATTACTTTAATACGGAAGATTTTTTCTAATTGAATATTGAAAATTAATTATTAACGAAAGAAGAATTCTAGGATTATTTGGATAATAGAATTAAAACCGAAAGGATTCTATTATAAGCGTTAAAATTAAATAAATTAAAAAAATACTATTTACTAATCGAATTAGAAGAGAAGTAATATAAGGAAATTACAAAGTATTTTTAAAAAGAGAATAGATTATTAACGGTACTAAGATAAAGAAAATAAAGAAATAGGGAGGAAATAATTATATTAATTATAAATACTATTTATACTATAACTATAGTAAAAACCGGAGTACTATCTATTTAATACTTAATTACATTTAAAAAACTCTTTGAAAAGCTTTATTATACGAATTTAATTTATAGTAATATTATAATACTATTAAACCTAATTATTATTTAAAATAGGGCGGCTAGGAATATCGATAGTTATAGGGCTACTAAAGGTAGTACTATTACTATTAAAATTAAAAACCGTACGAGTAGGAATAGTTATACTACTACTATTAGGACCGGATATAATATATATAGGAGTAATTATACTACCGCTAAAATTAAAAACAATATAAATTAAATTTATTATACTATTAA